TTTAAGACGTGTTGTATATGGATTGTAAATAAATTTTTAACATTTTTTATTCCATGGTTGTGATATGTAAATTATTTCATTTTTTCCCCATTTTTACATTGTAAAGCGCCATGAGCTCAGGATATGAACGCTATATAAATAAAGTTATTATTATCATTATTATTATTATTATTATCATTATTGCTATTATCATTATTATTATCATCATCATTATCATTATTATTATCGTTATTATTATTATTATTATTATCATTATTATCATCATCATCACAGTTTGTGGTGTACTTTGTTTTGTTTGTCATGATGTCAACTAACATTCAGCTGTTTCAAAGGAAGGACATGTCTTGACAGCTTATGGTTTTTCCCAGGTGGTGTGCGCACTACGATCGCTAAGAATTATGGGCAGTATTCAGAATCTGATCATTTGTGTCAAGATGGCGTGGAGTGAACATCTCGACTGCAGAGTGAATATTCGTTAATTATGGCTCAGTCAATTCCAAGTGTGCTCACCCCCGGGCATTTGTCGGGCATTTGTCATCTTGTCGGAACCGGCGTTGGGGAATTTGTCACAAAGCCTCTGCCCGGGGGAGGGGCATTTGTCAAATCTTCTAGAAGTGGTTAACGTCGTTCCTTTTTCAATATTTCACTTAAAAATATGCTTATTTAGATAGCTTTAGATATTTCTATAAAGAACATTTTTGATAATTATGCTTTAAAGAGAGATGTAGTCCGGGATGGTTATCCACAGGCGACCCAGACGTAGTATGTGTCACTGAATGAATATATTAATATTCACATGGACAAATTGATGCGATGATTCGTCAAAACTCCCATGTACTAAAATAGTCCAAAAGTCAAAAACTAACAAAACAAAGCTAAGATACCTTTAACTTAACGTCTTAACGTATCCTTGTCTTTCCTGGCCGGTGAAAGTGGCATTTTGTTGAGTTTTGCAATTGTAGGTACTATCCACTGAAGAAGAATTAAAGGCTGGCTACAAAACAAACGGACCATCTCCACGCGCCTTCACGCGAAGCGCTCTAAATTCGAGAATAATCGACGAATCCGCTCCAAATTGCCATCGGCTAATCAGCAGGTAAAGTGCGCTCCGGTTCCTTGCTCGCTCGCTCCACAAAACCCATCGCAACTGCACAAGGATCGCTCGCTCATCAACAAACACTGTTGACCTTTACGCTTCGATATGACCGCAAACTACCAGGTTTAATACGCGACGTGAATATTCAAGCTTAGCGACCGCGTCCGCATGACAATGCAACACTTGCGATGGGAGGGATGGTACTATTGCTTCTAGGTCAATCAATCGGGAAAATAATATCGAAGCCCTCGTAATTTTCAAAAAGATCCAATTTGCCCCAGGATCACCGAACAGATAGGAATTTTATAGCGGAAATAAAAAAATAATAATAATAAGCGGCTGTGGAAAACGTAAACAAGAACATGTACCACATTTTCTCCATAAAAAGTGAAAACCAGGAAGTTTTCTGGAAGTTTCACGTTGCAGTCATGCAAATCAACGGCAAGGGAATGTACAAGAAAATGTGCTGCAATTAGACCTATTATTCACTCCCCGGGTTAGGCTATTTTTCGCAGCGAGTAAAAGGAACCCAGAAAATTTTTGGATTCAAAAATGTGATGAAAGAAGGAATCTGAAAAATTATCTCCTTCTTAAGACGTTAAATTGCATCTAAAATTTTCGGGAAAATAATTCTGAATTCCTCGTAATTTCGAAAAGACTCAAGTTCCCATATACATAGAATGGCCGAACACTGAGATACGAATTTGATAACGCCACTTAGAATGCATTTCTATAGAGCTAAAAGTACTTTATGAATAGCTAAAAAGTGTTTTCAATGTATTTGAGGAAACCGTCGTTGGGTGCCCCTGTCTCGTTGCCGTCTCCGCTCAGCATTACACGATTTTATGTTTAGTATGAGCAAACTAAAAATATTATCAAGAGCTTAGCTTTTAGCCTTCCTGACTAAATTTATGTATTAGCGCCGCTTAGAATGCATTTGAAAGTACTCTGGACAGCCTTAAATGTGTTTTCTATGCAGTTAGGGGGAAATCGTCGTTGGGTGCCCCTGAGTTTTGAAAATAATGATAATAAAAAAGATATCGCGCACATAAATTTTACTTTACCATATCTTCAGCTGTATCTTCTATTCAGCTGCATAGCCGACGCCAGATTTATCCTTTGTCCTGGGCGGAAAATCCTCGTCCTCCCTCACCAGTTTGGACAACATACTGTGGAATAAGACGTACTTCTGGAAAGAACTGTTTATTTAATTAATCTAAGCAAATAGGTCTAGTAGAGTCAAGAACCTATGCAAGCGGCTGGAAGAACAATGTGACAGCAGCTGTGACAGCGAACGTTAGAAGAATTCGAACTTGAAAACCAGGAGCAGGGCCGCCCTGTTGAAAACTTACGGACGGTCGCGTGATCGCCTTATGTTTTCTGGTCAAAACTAACGCAGCGGACCCTCGCTCAGTGTTGATTGACCTAGAAGCAATAGTACCATCCCTCCCATTGCAAGTGTTGCATTGTCGAGCGGACGCGGTCGCTAAGCTTGAATATTCACGTCGCGTATTAAACCTGGTAGTTTGCGGTCGTATCGAAGCGTAAAGGTCAACAGTGTTTGTTGATGCGAACGATTCTTGTGCAGTTGCGATGAGTTTTGTGGAGCGAGCGAGCAAGGAACCGGAGCACACGTTACCTGCTGATTAGCCGATGGCAATTTGGAGCGGATTCGTCGATTATTCTCGAATTCAGAGAGATGGTCCGTTTGTTTTGTAGCCAGCCTTTAATTCTCCTTTAGTGGATAGTACCTACAATTGCAAAACTCAACGAAATGCCACTTTATCCGGCCAGGAAAGACAAGGATACGTTCAGTTAAAGGTATCTTAGCTTTGTTTTGTTATTTTTTGACTTTTGGACTATTTTAGTTTATGGGAGTTTCGACGACTCATCGCAGCAATTTGTCCATGTGAATATTAATGTATTCATTCAGTGACACATAGTACGTCTGGGTGGCCTGTGGGTTATCAAAGTTGATAACCACCTTACGTCACAAGATGGCGGCCATATTAGAAATCGGCGATTTTCGTGCCCTGTTCGTCGTTTTCGTTTTTTGTTCGTCATTACTCGCCGTATGTATCCATAATTCCATTGGAAATGGGCGAAAAGACATTTCTCTTCACGTATGCCCAAGATGGCGAGCTGATGGAAGTAACATGTTGGGCCGAGAGGTTTCAGGGCGTTTGAATTCACACGTTTGAATGAGGTATGTTTTTCAGCTTTGCATTCAAGTTTAGGTTAGTAAATGAGTTTTGCCACAGTCCAAAAATCTATAGAGCTGATCTGTAATCTCTCTCCTTTCCATGCCATTGTTGTTTATCCCAATGGCAACTAAGAAAAAAAGTGCATGGGGTGGTCTTGGTCTGCATCTGACCGAGAAAAGTCGGCACAGAATGGGAGATGACAAAATGTGGAGCCCTACTCCATGGAGTACCCTGTGGAGTACCCAAAATGGAGTACCCCTAAAAATCATGTATTAGTCAAATAAAATACTTTATCAACATGGTGAACCATTTAGATGTACATACCTTTATTTATTTTGAGCTTGCCAGCTCCCCGATTGTCACAGTTTGATGCAGTCCATGAATTGACTGCCATCTTGAAATTTAACATTAAACTGCTGACCACCTCAAATGCCCAGCATCCTTGAGCATTTTCTTTTTCAAGAGGCCAAAAGGGCCAAATTTTTCACTGTAGTTTAGGGGACTTTGTTAAGCTTACAGCCGTACCTAGCTTTTTCTTTGTGTGTATTAATGATGAGGCATTCCTCATCTGTTGACACGATTAAACAACAAAAAATTCAGCTGAAAAGTTTTAAACTATACTTGATTAAATTTGACCTTAGGGAAAGTTCATTTAATATGACCATGGGGGGGATGACGATATTGAGGGGGGGCTCCAAAAATTTTTAGACACCCGAAGGGGGGGCTCTGAAAAATTGTTGCGCTAGGAGGGGGGGCTCCGAAAATTTGTATACTTCAAAACTAACACATGACATCATACAGATCTGATGGTTTTCAACTCGACAATTTAATGACCTGTGCAACTCAGCTATATCACGTGGTTTACAGATATAACAAATGTAGTCTCAGTAATTATTACACTCTTGTTCATCCTAAAAATGCTTTAGAAAATTGTATCACAACTGTATCTCAAGTTTGTCATAGTATAAACCATTGACGACAATAACGGTAAATATATTTAATACAGTCTAGCGATCTTTTTTCAGGGGAGCAAAGGAATTGAAGGAGGAGGGGGGGGCTCTGAAATTTTTTCGACTACCAAGGAGGGGGCTCCTAAAAAATTGAACCGCTAGCGAGGGGGGCTTCTAAAATTTCAAGCTTCGAGTTTCAATATCTTCATCCCCCCCCTTGTCATATTAAATGAACTTTCCCTTATTATAAATACGTTTTAAAAGTACCCACCCGAGCTTGATAAGCTTAAATTGTCCATGGTGCTTGACATCCTGGCCAAGCGGCCCTGCATAGGCCTTTCGTTTGAAGTGGTCAGCAGCTTAATGCTAAATTTCAAGAAGGGGGTCAATTCCAGGACTGCATCGAACTGTAACATTAATCAGAAGGCTGGCAAGCTCAAAATAAAGCCATGTACATCTAAACAATTCACTATGTTGATAAGTATTTTATTTTACCATTACATGATTTTTAGGGGTACTCCATTTTAGGTACTCCATAGGGTACTCCGTGGAGTAGGGCTCCCCGTTTTGTCATCTCCCGCACAGAATCGCTTTGTTCAATGTTTCAGTCACGAAAAGCACTGAAGGTAAGACCCGCGGTTCGCCGAAAATTTTGATCTCACAGTGAAATCAGTGCAACTAGTGCTAAGAGGTACTGATATGCATAACTTTGATAATAAATTATACTCCTAAAATAGTTGGAGCTTCTTCCAAATACCCGGCCACTTCTCGGAAATTTAAGAACATAGTATAAACACAATGCTTTCTTAGTTGTTATTCAGCAAGATGTTCAGTTGTTACAGCTGTAGGTATGATAAGAGTAGTTCGGGGGGTCATCTTTTCAATGACTTAGTTCTCTGTTGGCACCCTGTCTACATTTCCCTTCGTTTACCATCTGTATTTATCATACACATGAAGTAAATAAAGTTAATAGAGTATTTGATTTTTGTCTATTTATAGACAATATTGAGCACCTTTATTCAAGAAATACTGCAAAATTGCAAGTTTCTTTCCTGTTGGTATGAGTCATAGAATGTCTTAAAACTGGTTTAAAACTGAAAGTGGCATATTTGTTATTACAAAGCCTGATGCAGTCAACAACAATAGATTTTACAAGAATTGACTTCATCCTCAGTTGAGTATTCCTGAACAATAGGTAAGCATTGGTACCCAGACTCTTCCAAGAAAATGAGCGACATCACTGTTCTACGAAACATTAATAAACTGAGGTTAGTGATTAATATAATAGCATTTCACACCAGAACTGTTGCTTACAGAAAGTTGATGTGGTGAAAATTCTCAAGGAAAGCTAAAAGGTAAGCTGTTGTGGGTAGTTTTACCAAAACAATCTCGCTAATTTAACTGGATTCGTGGCTAAGCTACAAATCGTAGTTCCATTGTAAATGGTTAACCGGAGAAGAAGACCAGCCACGAGCTAAATATTACGCTAGCCTGTTTCTCAGTTTGTCTTAACAAATAACGACGCACAACCACCCTTTTATTTCTTAATTTTGCTCACCTTTTATACAAAGGAAACCTCTTTATTGATGGTTGATTTATAAACGTGTAAAGCGAAATTTTCGTTGAGTATCAAGAAGCTTCGTCATGCTTAATGAATATTTCATACTCAGTATCATGAACTGAACTATAAATTATCAGCCTAAGTAAACATCAGCAACTACACGGAAACCGTCATTTCAAAATATTTCTCCTTCGCTGGAAATTTCAACTTCAACAGTAAATAATTCAGCAAACTGAAGTTATCATCCAATTCCAACAGAAATTAAGAATGCTCTTTCCCGGAAGTATCCATGGTTGTTTGTTTTCCCGGAAAACTACCAGCAGTTTCACTTAATATAAACGTGAAACCTTTTCTTTCGAAAGGTATTCGTTTTCTTCAAACAATCATTTGATATGATATATAAAATTATGCGTGGTCGGAGATGTATTTTGTTGACTGTGTTAGTTTTCTTTTATTTTATCAGTTAACCTGCGAATACAGCCGTCTCTGTGAGGAGAGACCGCTGTATTCGCAGTCTACCACTTTTTCTGTTCATTTCAAACGCGACGATGATCAGATGCGGCGAAAAATTCGATTCAAGCTTGTACCTGTTTTCCTAACTATTTGCATATGATTTTAGTAGGCGATGGAAAATTTAAATTTGTTTGTCACGAATGGCACTGACGTGGCAAGCATGTGGGTGAATAAGTGAGGTGAAAGTGAAATTTTTCGTGGAAGGGGTTTTCCCATGCCGATCGAATGCAAATAGGATTATTGATTAACGAACCATTCCTTTTTGCGTATTCCAAACTTTTCGTAAGCACAGTTGTTTGGCGACAGGCGATGAAAGAAAGTCAAAAGTCAAAGAAAGTCCCAGGATCCATAGGGGACACAGTTGTGGTGAGGGAAAAGAATACGTTAATGGTCAACTGTTTTTCCTAATCGATGGTTGATCAATATTTGCTTATGAATTCGAAGTCAGTAAAAAAATATAGGTTTTAGCAATTTTTCTGTTTACACCTTAGATACTTGGATTTCCACGCACTCTAATTTCCTTGTGCTCCATACAAGTTCAAACGTGGCTCAGCAATATGTACCAGTTCATTACGCCAGCGTTTACTTCCCAACTTCCTCCTTCTTTACTAATTCTATAAATGCTTTTGACATTTTCAGTTTCTCATGTTACTTCAGTTTGTAGACGGTCACCCCGTAGTTTGTTAGATGCAGTTAGAAGATAGAAAGAAATCGATTAGGAAAGGAATCCAAGAAGCTTACACGATACGAGCTTAATAAAAGATGGAGGAGGTAAGCAATAGATCGTTGTTTCCTGCTGTCATCACTTTGCTTCATATTGAAATGAAAGTACTGGAATCAAGAACATTTGAAACATAATTATTTTCCTTATTTCCCGTTTAACCTTCCATCTTTGCTAAATATTAATCATTGCAACATAAAGGCAACGTCTGGGAAAACATAAAGCCTACTACAGCCGCCATTCTAGGTGCCTGCAGCCATAAACGATTCCCAGCAAAACCTACTCGTCCTCAGCGGCTGAAGAGATAGATGTGTTTCTCTTAATAGGTTAAAGCAAAAAAAACAAACAAACAAATAAACAATCTAGAAAAGGTTATAAAGGAGGAGGAAAAGAAAATGGATAAGACGGGAACCAGTATTTAAAAACTGCGCTATTGGGCAAGACTAATCTGATAAACTGCAGACTGCGGAGCCGTGGAACCGTGATGCGGAACCGGTGGAACCTACGAAACCTAAAGAATGACTGTTTTTGTTACAACTGCCTTTGGCTAACGTGATAAAATAATATGTTATAATTAATTTTTAAAATAACTAAGCTATTTCGAGCAATTTCTCGCCCGCTGATTGGTCGAGAGCTTTTGTGGAAAAGAGCACAGACCATGGAGAACTGTAGTCGATTTGTTAAGTAACGCTGATCGACTGGTCTGGTTCCGAAAGAGGAAGTCCTCTAATTAGTAACTTCCGGCTTGTTAGTAGTCGTTGGAAGGCAACGAGAGGCATAGATTTCAACACAGCAGGAGGACTCCGGATTTCAAGTGACGGGGATGATCGAAGGATTCACAAACACATTAACATTTTCTCCCCCTCCCAACTTTGCGCCACTGTCTTAATATATACCTCTCGTTGCCTTCCCACGTACTACCAAGTCGGAGGTCCATGTTTCGAGGACTTCCGGTTTGCAGCCAGAGCGCTCGATTGATGTTATAGACAGTGTTATATACTGTTCACAATCCCCCATTTTTCGCAAGATCGGCGAGAACGAGCACTACAGGCGGCGGTCTTGACCGAGTTTAGCTTTTAATAAACTACTTAAGTGGTTGGGGACGGTTTGGGAACTCCAGGCCTGCCCTCTCGGTCCACCTGAAACTAATTACAAAATGGCTTCCAGTGACGATGTGCTCTCGCGCGATCTCAACGATCCTACGGAACAATAGGGGACTGTAAACAGTCTATAAATTCTATAATTAATTGTAACATATTATTTTATCACGTTAGCCAAAGGCAGTCGTTATGAAAACAGCAGTTTCTTAAGGTTCCGAAGGTTCCGCAGGTTCCGTGGTTCCATCGTCTGCAGTTTACAGATTAACCGATTGAGGTAACCTCAAGAAGGTTTTTTGATCTTTCTCTAGCCTCCTACATCTCCTGTTTGTCGTCCTCAGTTTGACGCTAAGGGTTGCAAGCCTTTTCCGCTCACTACGATAGCACGAACTGGTGAATTTTACCCAACTAAAAATATCTGAAACTATGTGTTAAAATATTTAATAGGAATGGAGTGAACATTACAAAACAACGGAGGACGAAGATAAGGCCCTAGCCATAGCCTTGGAACAATCGCTTAAAGAATATGAAAACAGAGACAGCTACAACCAATCAGTGAGTGCATCCTTGATTTGCTTATAATAATAATAATAATAATAATAATAATAATAATAATAATAATAATAATAATAATAATAATAATAATAATTATTATTATTATTATTATTATTATTATTATATTATTATCCAGTAAGGTGTTCTTGGTAGGAATGAGTGTTTGATGGTTTTGTTCGTTTAATATCCCTTGAGGTAATGAAAATCCAAAGTCAAATTAAGGGAAGAGGCAAGAGTGGCTGGACTTGAAAACCGGAAAGCCATGTAGTGCAAAAGCACTGAGCAGTTCTGCCACTTGTAATGTGTAATTTTCTCTTTTCCAGTCTACATATTTTCTTTCCACCAGGAACACAGAGTGCAGCAAGATAGACAGAGTCGAGAAGCTGAACTATCGTCAGCAGAGTTCTCACCCATGACCACATGTATCAAGGAAAATCATCAGCGAACAAGTCCAGGTAGTGAGGATGTGCTTTTGGCGCGTCAGGTCTACAAAGGTGATAAAGCAATATTATTTAGTTGGATCAGCAATTTTCCACGCAATAAATATATATATAGATGCAGGTGATGTTCGCTTCTGAATCCAGGATAGTGCTCTACAATGAAGGAGATGTAATAGCAGTAGGTGGACTACTCAATGTGAGTACGTATGGAGTTTAATACAAAATTGGTTTCGTAGACCAACTGATGAGTGGACCAACTCTGTTAGTCTACGACGGTGGTCCACCTACTACGAATATAAGCATATAAATTCGACTATTTGTCATACCTTCATTCCTGCATAAACCCACAGCAGGAGGGCAGGAGTGCTAGCCCAGACTAGTCAGGCTTAAGCGTGGCCGGATCATCAGTTGGAAATGGCAGGCCGGGCCGCCATAAAACAGTGTCCTCAATTATTTTTTCGTGTTTAATGCAGTTAGCAATCTCTTTCCTGAATAAGTCACTTGTTTAATATATAGATTTAGCCAGGGCTAAAAGCGAAGCTCTCGATAATATTTATGCTTTGTTCAAACACAATATAAAATCATGTAATGCTAAGCGAAGGCATCGCCGGAGAACGGTGAAAAACGACAATAGGTCTAATTAGCAAAAAAGCAACTTTGCACGTGCAGCAAACTTTTTTGTACATTTCTTTGCTGTTGTTTTGCACGACTACAACGTGAAACTTCCAGAAACTTCTTAGTTACACGTTTTTTTCGTTCACTTTTTTTTTCACTGCCGCTCATTTTCACCTTGCATTGGTGGCCGCTAGCATTTCTCATTTTGTCACCGCCGTTACAAAATTTTCATGTTGTTCTTACAACAAAAAAAATGTCTCCTTTGTTTTTTTATCTCTCGCTCTAAATCTCTGTCGCCGTTTTTCTCGTTGAGCTTTGCTGGCCTACAGCCTACTTTCTCTGTTCTCTGTGTTTCTCTTGCTCTATATTCCAAATTTGTGGACATGACAAGTAATCTAAGCTTAATACTTTAGAAAACACGTATACAGAGACAATTTCCGCTTTCCATTTTCCTCTTCATTGACTCATTAGTTGTTTCTGCTTTACAAGACGAAGGTGGCTATGCGATTTCCCGTCAAAATAACCTCGAGTTGCATTTGGGTTGCCATACCTGTTGATTGAATTATTTTACATTGATATGCCTGTAGGCCTTTCCCGATTGCGCTCGTAAAATCCTAAAAAAGTGCTGGCAAAAATGGCTAAAAAGTGCTCAAAAAGTGCTCAAAATCTCAAAATAGTGCTCAAAAAGTGCTAAAAGTTGTGAACAGTTACCTCTAAGCTTTTCGTAAATATGTCAATTTTTACTGAAATAATTAACAATCTATTTTGCGTAGTGTTATTCGACAGGTTGTTACGAAAGGTTGATAGAATATAGAACAATAATATTTTTAAAAAACTAAAGCCGGTTACGAATTGTAAATAAATTACAGCAGTACTAACATGATGACACACGCATGATACATCAGCCAATCAGAAACTTCTGTTCTCACGCTCAGTGAGGAGAAGTCCTCGTGCCTTTCCATGACAACGATCTTTTATTCTTGACAACATCATTAGTTATTCAAATTTATGAGCGACACACAGTTTTTGCTTTAAAATGTTTTAGAAGACATATGTTTCTCGAAATTTGCTCGAAACTGTGAAACATTGCTCAAATGTTGCCCAAAGTGCGAAAAAGTGCTTAAGGGTGCTCAAAATGCAAAATAGTGCTCCAAACTCAAAAAAGTGCTCAAAAGGTGCTCAGCGCAATCGGGAAAGGCCTATATGCCTGTGGTGCGGACGGACGGTCTCTCGGGCGGGCGGTATACGGTCACGTGATTACCAAATTTCTTGGATGGGTAGATTACCACATTTTCTTACCCATGGTGTTCCGCTGCGCGCTTCGATTCGCGCGCGAGAGCTCCGCTAATATACTGCCAATGAGGATTTTGCGATTAACGTATTTCTTGTAATTTCTGTATAACATTGGCTCGTTCTTCCACTGTGCATGCATTGTATATCGAGATATTAAGCACTTGGAAAGTTCAGAGAGCACTCAAATAAAGTCGAAAGACGATCACCCATCTTCTGAAATTCACCGTAGAGTCGCCCAAATTTGCGGTTTCCCGCACGAGGGTTGTGACGTTGCGTGTAGCGCGGTTCGTTTGTTATCAAATTAGCACATTTGTCTATTTCTGTGCAGCCGCGTGGACCTGCACTTGGGGTCTCCTATCCCGATTATGGCTCCTGGCATTGTAAGATTTTGTCCGTCGAATTGAATGATCACCATAAAGGTTGTCTCGTTGGATGCTCGTCGCTAAATGGTTATTTTTCGATCAATGTTTCTTGGCTACCGTAACATTAATGTTTGAGCACCAATGCGGGCTTATGAAATAGTACAGTCGAATCCTCTTCACAACGGCCACCTTGGGGAGCGAAGAATGTGGCCACTGTGGCGGAGAAAAGGGCGTTATGGGAAGGTAGGGTGGGTTAAGGGGTAAAATATGACAATTCATATTTTACGAAGCACAACATGTTTATTGTGCTAACTTCATGCTGGCTGTATTCCATTAATGGTAATCCAGTCATTGGACGAAAAAATGGATTTGGACGAATTTGGTCCTTGCAAATAATTAGTATGTCGCAAAAATGTAAAAACTGGGGAGTAAATATGGGGAAAAGACGGTAAATGCCACATTTGCATACCAAAAATCAAGGCCGTATAAATAACTAGGCAACCATGACAGTTACCGTATTAGCCCCAGATCTCTGCTTTCACAATTTTGCGACATATTTGCAGGGAGCAAATTTCTGCTAATCAATCTTTTCGTCCAGTAAAGCATATAAATAAATATAGTATATAGAAATAAAATTCACAAAAAAACCTGAATAATCTTTTGTGTCAAAATGTGACAACACGAGAAAGGCTTGCAACATCCGCTATAAGCATCGTAGACAATTTATGCTTGCTGTACCAGTATAAATCGAACCAGAAGCATACTTCTGATGGAACACAATCAAAATACGATTGCCGCGATTAATCATCAACGCCCCATACGGATCAAATTTCAAGACCATTCTAGACTTTTTCATCAGTCGCTTAGGAAAAAACTGGCCTTTGTCGAAAGGCTATATTTTGGCAGTCGGGGGCACGCTTTAGTGGGCGTTGCCGTTTTTTGGAGGTTTAAACAAAACAAAAATGCGGATGAAATGTTCGCCGCGAGAAAACAGAAAGAAAGAAAGATAAAGTAGCCGCTGTAGCGAGGTAGCCGTTAGTGGAGCCGCGACTGTATTTTTGAGGTAAAAAATACCAACGGAGTCACCACTTTT